GCCCTAGCTGCCTCATATCCAGTTATTGTTCTAATACGCCTGATAGTGAAAATCGCAACAGCTAGAGATCTTTGAAGATGCTCAACATGAGAGTTCCAATTTAGATTTGGCATTACGGAAATCCCTAGGAATTTTATTGGTTCTTGCTACCGTCCCTCAAGTTTTGTTGTTAGTAGAAGTTCAAACCATTCCACAGCTTCAGCCATAATAATTTGAGTTTTTTTTTTTCAAGCTCACATTTATCTTTCGAAGTTAGCATGAAAGACGTGTCATCAGCGTCATTTAGCGGGAAGGTCATTTATATAAATAATGAAAAGTACTGGACCCAGAATTGATTCTTGTGGAACACCAGAAGCAATATTGTTAATTTCTGAAGTTCGACCCTTCCATTGCACGCACTGCATTCTATTGCTTAAATAACTACGGATCATGTGATTTGGTAGTCCTCTTATACCGTAATGTTCCAGTTTACTTAATAGAGTCTCATGTTGGACACGATCGAATGCCTTTGATAAGTCACAGCATAATAATTGAACCTCTTCTTTCTCGTCGAACGCTCGTACCACAGCATCAATCAAGCTTGTCAGAGCTGAGGTGGTAGACTTTTGACTGCGGTAACCATGCTGGACTTTATTAAACAACTTGTTATTTTCCATATAATCAATCAATTTACATTTTAATAAAGATTCGAACTTTTTTGAGATAGCCGGCAATATGGAAATAGGCTGATAATTTTTACAATCATCCGGACCATCAAATTGGAACCACTTATATTATACGGAACTTTTCAAATTTTTTCGCGAATAGTTCTAAACCATTTGTTGCTTTTCAATGAGCACGGCACTACTTGATTCACACTTCTATTGACGAATGAAAGAAACATAGTTAGCAGCGAATCGATTAATATGATTCGACATGTGAGCCATTCGCCGCAGGTCTCTGGTACCTACTTACTTTGTCTCACATAAAATACAACATGTCAATATAAACTGACATTACAGTAAAACCTCGATATAACGGATCAATACCGGGAACTCAGTGTCCGTGATAACTCAATAAAAATATACAACAATCTAAAATAAGAAATAAAACTAGACTAGCACTAGAACTAGAAACATTCCGTTTAACTGTACCGCTCTTAAGACGGCTGGTAGGTGATAGGTAGTGCTAGTTAACACAAAATATCACTATGTTGCATATTTTTATTGAATTAAAACTAGAACTAACACTAGACCTAGAACTAGAAAGTATCGGGTTTAGCCGTGCGTCTGAAAACCCAAATACTTCTAGTTCTAGGTCTAGTGTTAGTTCTAGTTTTACACTAGCACTATCACTAGAACTAATACAAGACCTAGAACTAGAATCATTCGGGTTTAGCCGTCTTGAAAGACGTGCGGCTAAATCCGAATGTTTCTAGTTATAGGTCTAGTGTTAGTTCTAATTTTGCACTAACACTATTACTAGATTTAACATATGACCTAGAACCAGAATCATTCGGGTTTAACCGTCTTGAAAGAGATGCGGCTAATTCTGAAATAAATAAAACTAGACTAACACTAGAACTAACACAGGACCTAGAACTAGAAACATTCCGTTTAGCCGTATCTCTCTTAAAATGGCTGGTAGGTAGCGTTGGTTAGCTTGAAATATTACTATGTTGCATATTTTTATAGAACTTAAACTAGAACTAACACTAGACCTACAACTAGAAAGTATCGGGTTTAGCCGTGCGTCTGAAGAATGTTTCTAGTCCTAGGTCTAGTGTTAGTTCTAGTTTTACACTATTACTAGAACTAATACAAGACCTAGACTAGAATTATTCGGGTTTAACCGTCTTGAAAGATGTGCGGCTAAATCCGAATGTTTGTAGTTCTAGATCTAGTGTTAGTTCGAGTTTTGCTCTAGCACTATCACTAGAACTAACACTAGACCTAAATCTAACATAATTCGGGTTTAGCCGTCTTTAGAGACCTGAAGTTAATCCCAAATGATTCTAGTTCTAGGGATAATGTTAGTTCTACATAGTAACAGTGCTAGTGTAAAACTAGAACTAACACTAGATCTAGAACTAGAAGCATTCGGGTTTAGCCATCTTTAGAGACGTGTAGCTAAATCCAAATGCAGTGGCGGCGATAGGCGTCGGCGATGTCGGCGATCGCTGTCAAAGGGGCCTCGTAGTCGATTAAAAAAAATCTTGCTGCACTATTACTATATCAATATTATTTTCTTAACACTTGATTTAGAATTGACTTTTTTAACACAATGGTAGACGCTATCATAGTCGACGTAGAATGTCGATTCAAATCTCTCAATGAATATTTCGAACGATTTGGTTTTATTTATGACATCAATTATTTAAGATCTTTATCAAAACAAAATCTTCTGAAGCACTGTAATGATCTTGGTACAACTCTCAGGGATGGGGAGAACAGTGACATAGAGCCTTTCGAACTCTATGAAGAACTTCAACTTATAAAATCAAATTTGCCAGACTCTGTTCAAGATGTAGTACAACTAATACAGTACATTATGCAAAATAATTTGCAGGAAATATATCCAAATGTTTACATATCTATTAGGATTATGCTAACAATTCCTGTCAGCACGGCTTCTGCCGAAAGAAGCTTCTCAAAGTTAAAATTAATAAAAAACTATTTGAAAAACACAATGAGCCAAGAAAGATTATTTGCGCTTTCAATTTTATCAATTGAAGCCGAAATAGCAGCAAATATAAACTATGAATTAATACTGAAAAAATTCAGTGAGGCGAAAAGCCGTAAATTTCGTTTACTTTAATTTTACTTATTATTATGTTCGTTTGCGTGATTGTTTTTGTTTAATTAATAGAAAATATACTTATAGTAGACGCCACGAGAGATGGCAGTAAATCATCATTTTCCGCTCTTACAAATGCCATACGTAGTTCTCAAACCGCTAGAGAGTAATGTGTGTTAGAAAGAGACAGCATTATTTTAATATGTCTCCTGTACAATTCAAATGGCCACGTCGAAAAAGTACGTCTGTTCTTGTAAGGGATGTAACTCTATAATTATATCTTGATTCATACCATTTTTAAGCGATCTGTCACTGCCAGCTCTCGTGGTTTCTACTATATCATATAACTAGCCGCGTTTTAATCTTAGCCTAATAGAGTACGCAACTAGCAATAGCTTTGTTCGTTGGGACTGCACTAGTTGCCAGAAGCAATTCAGTGCAGTGTAAATGTAGTAATTCAGTGCAGTTTTCGAACAGTCAGTTACCTGTCAGTTTTTCGAAAACTGCACTGAAACACTACATTTATACTGCAGTAACTACTTGGGGCAACTAGTGCAGTCCCAACGATCAAAGCAAATATTTTGTGGGATATGAAAAGGGCCTCGTAAATGTACTGTCGCCGACGCCTACGTTTGGTTTAGCGCCGCCACTGCCCAAATGATTCTAGTTCTAGGGATAATGTTAGTTCTACATAGTAACAGTGTTAGCGTAAAACTAGAACTAACAGTATACCTAGAACAAGAATCATTCGGGTTTAGCCGTCTTTAGAGACGTGCGGCTAAACCCAAATGATTCTAGTTCCAGGTATAGTGTTAGTTCTACGCACGTCTCTAAAGATGGCTAAACCCGAATGATTCTTGTTCTAGGTATACTGTTAGTTCTAGTTTTACGCTAACACTGTTACTATGTAGAACTAACACTATCCCTAGAACTAGAATCATTTGGGTTTAGCCGTCTTTAGAGACGTGCGGCTAAACCCAAATGATTCTAGTTCCAGGTATAGTGTTAGTTCTACTTAGTGACAGTGCTAGTGTAAAACTATTTTTATCATATATCCAATATATCAACACAGAATCAAAAAAGGGTTAAATTAAACCATTACTAGATTATATTAATTTGACAGAAACAGATAGAAAACTCCAACTTCACTTCAGACTTTTCTTTTTCCGATTTTTATGCCATTTTTAATACTAATTTTAGAGTTTTTGTATTGTTTTTAAGTTTATTTGGCGATTGAAATGTATAAAGGAAGTTTAATTCAATTTGCAACAAAAGTGAGAGCGCAAGATTTCAATTTTTTATTATTTTTGACATTTTCACTGACAACATTCTAATATTTATGATTTTTTAATAGTGATATGAATTCATTTTGCGACCTAAACCGCGAGATAGACGTTGCAAATTATTCGCGAGATCATTTTTCGTCCGGGGATTTTAGGAAAATTTATTATTTTAAAAGAAAATCTAAAAGTTCTGAAACAGCGACATCTATTGAATTGATTTAGATTTCCTTTCTGTCAAATAACTAAAACTTTTCTCTAAAAGCTCAATTAATTTCCGTTTCACACTTCTTAAAGATTATGTTGGTTATAAATTAAAAATGAATATGAGTTAATTTATAACCCTATTCACAAAAAGAGCATATTAATATCTGAATATTACGTCAATCGTACTAAAAAATGACATGAAATCCCATAAAGTTATCATATAAGTTTGCATAAACACAATAAAGATAAAAAGTTATTACAAAAGCTATTGTAAATCACAGTTTTGGAGTTTATTAATATCTAATCCGTGTTTTTTTGCCAAAATATAACTGTTAATACAGAACGAGATTGTAATAAATAATCTTTTTTATTTCTACTTAAAAAAAAACATAATTTGTTGTTTTAAGAGATTCGTTTCAATATTATACGTCGCGACAAGTAGAAAAGATCCTCATCAAAGGGCGAAAATCTCTTTATAGAAAAATCGAAATACGTGATTCGAACGTAAAAGTGCGATTCGCCATCTATCTGCATAAGCCAATCTAACTTTTCAACGAACGGCAAACGCGGCTGAGTTGTTGATTGGCTTTTTCCCTCGTTATTATTTTTAAAAGAGATAAGATTATTTGAATAAATAAAACCATCTCCCACCCTTTCCGATTTTTCCTTCGCCGACCTTTATATAAGATCACCGTGCAGACTTTTTCGAGCGCCATACAGAAAAGTTATCGCGATTCGAAAAGATCGTGAAATATTTTAAATATAAATAATAAGTATTGAGTGAAATAAAACGTCTTTGAAATGATGGTGACAAAAGGAACAATTTTCTTCTTGTTACTTATTATTGGTAAGAAATTATTTTTTAAATTAAATTTACAGGTTTCTGTAATTATTATAATTCGTTTAGTTTTGTTTGGTGATCATAGATTATTTCTTATTAATATTACTAAAAAGATCTCTTTTTTTATTCATTTAAATGAAAATTAATTAGTTTTGGGGGATTATTATAGATGGCAGATTCTCTCATTATTTTTCTTCTTCATAATAATAATAATTGTTGCAATGATTTTCCTTGTAGGGATTGTTTTATCAAGTAAAATAGAAACGAGATCATGTCAATCATGCGGTGGAGAGTGTGAAACAGCTTGCAGAACCGCTTATTATCGAATTTGCTGTTTGAATTATGTGAAAAAAAGGAGTATGTCGCAAATGTTACCTTTGGAAATGGATCCGAGTTTGAGATTGGAACTTTGGCTGGCCAAATCGAAATCGAGTCCTTTCTATCAACGAAGTTTCGAAGAGACCATTTTGAAACAAGCCGCCGAAGAAGATCAAATTCCATCCTAAAGGTTGAAGAAACAAAAATTTCATTGAAATAAAAGTATTAAAAAAAAATGATTTTGAAAAATGAGATTAGTTTAGAAAATTCACAAAAATTAATAAGGTTTTTTGATGTTGTGATAAATGTTTATGTTTATTTAGAGGCTGGATATTAAAATTATTGAAAATGGAAGTAAAATAAAAATAAAAATTTTAAAATAGTGTTAATTCTAAAGAATTGTTTTATTAATATTTTTTATTGTCCGTTATAGTTGAACAATCTAGCGCTGAATAACAAATAAAACTAGACTATCACTAGCACTAGAATTAACACTAAACCTAGAACTAGAAACATTCCGTTTAGCTGTACCTCTCTTAAGACGGCTGGTAAGTTGCGCTAATTAACATAAAATATCAGTATGTTGTATATTTTTATTGAACTAAAACTAGAACTAACACTAGATCAAGAACTAGAAACATTCGGCTTTAGCCGTCTTATAAGACGCATGGCTAAACCCGAAACTTTCTAGCTCTAGGTCTACTGTTGGTTCTAGTCTTACACTAGCACTATTATTATGTAGAACTAACACTATGTCTAGAACTAGAATCATTTGGATTTAGCCGCACGTCTCTAAAGACGGCTAAACCCGAATGCTTCTAGTTCTAGATCTAGTGTTAGTTCTAGTTTTACACTAGCACTGGTACTATGTAGAACTAACACAATCCCTAGAACTAGCATCATTTGGGATTAGCCTCACGTCTCTAAAGACGGCTAAACCCGAATGATTCTAGTTCTAGGTATAGTGTTAGTTCTAGAGATAGTGCTAGTGCAAAATTAGAATTAACACTAGACCTAGAACTAGAAACATTCGGATTTAGCCGCACGTCTTTCAAGATGGCTACACCCGAATGATTCTAGTTCTAGGTTTTGTATTAGTTCTAGTGATAGTGCTCGTGTAAAACTAGAACTAACACTAGACCTAGAACTAGAGAGTATCGGGTTTAGCCGTGCGTCTTCAACTGTGCAAAATATCTAACGCTGCAAGATTGTTGTATATTTTTATTAAACTAACAGCACAACTAACACTAGATCAAGAACTAGAATAATTCGGCTTTAGCCGTCTTATAAGACGCATGGCTAAACCCGAAACTTTCTAGCTCTAGGTCTAGTGTTGGCTCTAGTTTTACACTAGCGCTGTTACTATGTAGAACTAACACTATGCCTAGAACTAGAATCATTTGGATTTAGCCGCACCTCTCTAAAGACGGCTAAACCCGAATGGTTCTAGTTCTAGGCATAGTGTTAGTTCTACATAGTAACAGTGCGAGTGTAAACTAGAACTATCACTAGACCTAGAACTAGAACCATTCTTTAGTCGTCTTTAGAGACGTGCGGCTAAACCCAAATGATTCTAGTTCTAGGTATAGTGTTAGTTCTAAATAGTAACAGTGATAGTGTAAAACTAGAACTAACACTAGACCTAGAACTAGAATATGGAGTGGAAATATGGGCATGGAAGGAGTAAGGGCTCTTAGAGGATGTGCAGACCAAGTATTGGAGGTGGGTATTGGGTTGGGGTTGGGAAACTCCGGGATATACAGTGTCCACCAAAAAGTCTGCAACACCCGTTTTATTTCTGTTCTATTACATCAACGCTTCTGCCATTTAGCTTATATGGGAGGTTCATACCGATCTTTCGATCTATAGTATTTTTAAAATTTTGACCACTTCCGGTCTCCCAGAAGTAAACCTCAACTTCGTTATTTTAAATGGAATGCTATAGTTTTTATTGCACCTTTTAATTGTATGTGAAAAAATACATTTTTCGTTTTCGAGTTATTTTGATTTTAAGTTTTTGTTTGGTACATTTCACCATGCTTTTAAAACCCCATATCTCAGCCAATATTTATTCAAAAAAGCCCTAATTTGCTAAGGTTACTCTTCAGATGATATCAAATAGATTGTCATTTGTTGTATCAGAGTGTCTTATACTGGATGGTCAAAAATTGAATTGTCGCTTCCCCATATTCAATGGCAATTGTTTTAACCTACCTGAGAGAGAATTAAATTTTTTATCCAAACCTAATTTTTGTTTTCATTGATTCATTTATTTGTTTTTTTCTATTTGTTATTTTGGGTAAATAAAAGATAGTGAACTAAAAGATTATCAATCAAAGTTAATTGTCATGTCTTAATGAAAATATAACCGGTTTCCGGCATTTCCCGGCAAATTCCCTTTCTGGTGGGCTAATAAAATATGGGGCTTACCATTTAAAATTTTCACTTCCTTGCCATTGAATGCTGAAAAAAGGTAATTCACTTTTTGACCATCCTGTACAAGATACTGTGATACAGCAAATGACACTCTATTTGATAGCATTTGAAGAGTAATCGTGCCAATTTAGAGCTTTTATGAATAGACGTTTGCTGAGATATAGAGTTTTAAAGAGCATGGTGAAAATTGCCAAAAAATATTTTAAATCAAAATAACTCGAAAACGAAAAGCGCTAGGTACCAATAACTTTTATCAAAGTCAACTTATTTTTGCGCATATAATTAACAGGTGCAATAAAAACTATAGCATCCCATTTAAAATAACGAAGTTGTGTGGCCACCATCTTAAAAATACTTTAGATTGAAAGGTCCTGATGTGAACCTTCCACATAAACTAAATTTTAAAAATGTAGATGTAATGAAATGGACATAAAACGGACGTTGCTGACTTTTTGGTGGACATTGTATAGTTAGGGAAGAAATGAAGGAAGATAAGGTGAGGGTGGGGCCTGGTAAGCGGTGCGTTTTGAGGAGAGGGTGTAAGGTAGAGGACATTATAAAATCTTGGGAGAGTGCTACAGACAGATTGAGGCAAGTAAGGGGCGTTATGGGCAGCGAGAAAGGGAGGAATACTACAAAAGGGTGGGGTATTCAACAGAAGAAGTGAATAGGAAAAGAAAAGAGAGAATTGAGATGTGGAAACAACTGGAGAGCACGACCAGGAATGTGGGAATGTAAGAGAGAAGAACTGTGATAAAGGAAGCAGGTACAATCCAAAATATATTGAAATTGTAGTAGAGGGTCTACCAAAGTACCTGATGATGGAGGGGGATGAGGAGGGGAATGGGTTGGTAGCCAGGTTTAGGTGTAGGTCCCTTTCATTCTGAGAAGGAAGCTACAATTGAGTGTACCCTCCATTGAAAACAGAACTATTAATCTCAAAACAGAAGTTAAATACCTAGGGGTAATACTAGACAGTAAATTAAACTGGAACTCCCACATCATACCCATGGTCGCCTATACCTCACTGGTTTGGTGGCCAAAAACAAATCATAAGACAGCACAACAATAGCTGGCAAAAATCCAGCGGTTAGCAAGTCTTAATATAAGGGGTGCAATGAGATCTTGTCCGACGACTGCTTTTGAAGCCCTACTCGGTCTCACACCACTTCATTTATGTATACAAAAGGAGGCATCTTTAAGGGCCTTATCACTGAAAACATGCTTTTTATTTAAGCTGATACTGGGCAACCTGAGAGGACACCTCGAAATGCTCAAGGAGCCATGTCTAAATCACTTGATTGAAATTAAAACCAATATTTATACCGACAGAATACAATTTCGACCAGCCGTATAAGGTCATATTTAGAAGCAGGGATGATTGGACGAAGGGTGGGCCTCAACCAAAAAGAGGACCCCTTGTCTGATACATGGATGCTTCAAAGACAATTGGATCCGGAATTGTCCCTCAGCTCGCACATTTTTCAAGCAGAAGTACTTGCTATAAACTTCAGAAGTACTTCTTGCAATTCAGACCAAAGAGGCAGCGAAAACGCCCTTCATTGAACCCCAACACGGTTGTGGATTACAAAAAAGTCACCTAAAACATGTAATCAACAATTGGGAGGCCTCAAAGGTAGCCTTACGCTGGAAAAAACATTCAGGTCACAGACAAGCGAAGTGCATGATAGAATAGCACCTCTTCCACATTGGACAAGCTGAGGATCAAAGCTGTCGATTTTGAAACAACGAGGCAGAAACGGCGAACATATTCTGTGTAATTACGTTGCCAGAGGCCGCCGAAGACACAATATTTTCGGTAAAGCTCTTTTGACACCTACCGATATAAAGGAACGAGAGCAATACTAAGGTGGTGGCAGCAAGGACACGTAGGGAGACAGGGAGAGGTTGGGAAAAGGGGAAGGATTGTTCTTTTTTGTAATATTGTAATCTTCTGGAGACAATAAATTATCATTAAAAAAAGTTAACAGTTGCCATTGGTGTTCTCAGAAGGATGTGATCCTACAAGTGGTGTAATGAACACCAAAAAGTGTTTGAATCCAAACACTCAGGGATTAATCAGGGATGAGAAATATTTAATGATGGATTATCATTAGATGATTAAATGGCAATCAAAGAGTAACATTTATTTCCTCAACAACTATTATCATGTTGTAAAAATGAATTTTTCTTCAATTCCTTAAATTTTAAAGATTTTTTATATACAAACATATTTTTAGTGTATGGCACTAAATCATCATATTTTCAATGTATTGAAATCGGTTTTGGTTTTAAAATAGAAAATGTTCTTTGTTGGTTTATTAATTTTCATGATTAAAATAATTTCTTTGAAGAAGAAAATCTCGAATTTTCCTCCTTGTTTCTATTCACCACCCTCTTGCATCCCTTAAAATCCTATTTCCCGGGCAATAACGGACCCATTACCCTGTTCGATACACGAGACGTTAAAAGCTGCCCCGCTGAGATATGGGGTGGGGCAAGAATTATATATAAGTGCTGGTAAACAGCTTCTATTCCACTTAGTCGGTTCTTACAGTTTCCAACGGAAACGAGAAAATTTGATAGAGACCTCCAAAGAAAAGCACCGCTTCATCAACCCCCGATTGGCAGCAAAGAGCAACAGGTTAGTATCAGAACATTTACGATCTTTTCTCTAACTCTTAAATAACTTAATTTTTGATGAATTAAAAAATATTTTAAATAATAACAATTCAAAATTAATAATAATATTGATTTCGATAATTCCTCAAATATATATTATATTTTTTTCAAAAATTCTTTTTCATACATATATGCAACAACAAAATAGAAGCAAACGCATTTCGTAATATTAGTAGCAAAAGTAGTGGAGGCGGTAAAACCGGGGGTTCGGCTGGCGTATTTACAGTATTACACGTTCGCTGGTATGCGCGCCAATAAAGGGGGTTCCCCCGCGCGGCGCTTTTACGAAACGCAAAAGGCACAAACGATTCCCACTCCCTCAACGAGACTTGCTCTCTTTTGGGGGTTGGGGAAATATTTCGAAAATTATTATGAAATTGTTGCTTGGTTGTTAAACGAATACAAAATTTTAATAAAAACAAACAAAACAATTTAAACAAATTGCGTTTCTTGCAGAAACCACAAATTTCAATGTAAACGATTTTCTTGTAAATGACACGAGAAACCTCAAAACATCTAAGATTAAAATAAGTTTTGATTGACGTTTCTATTAAAATAGGTAATGAGTTTTAAATTGTTTCATTTCGTGCTTTATTAACATTGTGGTTATTGTGGCTTTAATTTTTGCTAAAGATTTTAAACTTTTTTATTTTTAGGTAATAAAATGAACTCAAAAATCATTTTATTAACAGCATTCGTTGTTATTACGGTTTATTGTGAAGCAACATTTATCCCAAGAAGGGTAATAATTCAAATTCTTAATTGACTCAAACTTTTTTGATTAAAAATTTTTTTTTAGGAAGGAGTTGATTATACAGGAACCGATATGATATTAGATCCAAAAAAGAGACCGTTTTGTAACGCATTTACAGGTTTTAAACCATTCCTTCTTTTTTAAACAATTTTATTGTAATAATTTTTTTTAGGTTGTGGTAGAAAGCGTTCAAACATTCCACCTTTACCCGAACTTCCGTTTCATTTTCAAAAACTATACGGGCAACCCCAACACAAACAACGAAGAATATTAGACGAATCTTTAAGTAACCTATTGGAATTAAATTCCGAACCGGGATTGGAAGATTTATCAAGACAAATTCTCTCCGAGGCGAAACTTTGGGAGGCTATTCAAGAGGCTAATATGGAAATTCGAAAACAACAAGACTCAAACGATAAACAAGAAATGATGCAATTTTAATTTTTTTCCTTCAAATTAGGATTAAAAAATTAAAAATAATGAGTATTATAATAAAAGAGGAAAAGTTAATCTGTAATTTCTGTTTAATTATTGATTAAAAATGATAATTATTGTATTATGTAATAATAAATAAAATAAACGTCTGTATACGATTACAAAAACTTCATTATTTAAAAAAATATGTGAAAACGGGAGTTTTATCTTAATTAGTTGCTCCCCTCATCACAAGATGGCTCTAATATTAATAAATATTTAAAAATACTCAATAGATGGGGACACTTATTATCGTTTAATGAAAAATAGATGGCGTTAGTTTCTCTTTCTCTTGTATCTACCAACAGATGTCATGTGTTGATTCCAAATCGTGGTACTAATAAAATTTGTAAGCCATATCACCAGTGTTTATTACATAGTGAATTTTACTAATGATGCAATATACTATAATATATTTCAATAGAAACCAAGGCGTACCTATTTACTTTGTTACAAATAAAATGCAACATGTCAATACAATTTGACATTACAGTAAAACCTCGATATAACGGATTAATACGGAGAAGGCAGTGTCCAATACAAATATACAGCAATTTAGCACTGAATAACAACTAGAACTAGACTAGGACTAGAACAAACACTAGACCTAAAACTAGAAATGGCCGTGCGTCTTTAGACCGAATGCTTCTAGTTCTAGGTCTAGTGTTAGTTCTAGTTTTAATTGTTATGCAGCGCTAGACCAAGATCTAGAATCATTCGGGTTTAGCCGTGGGTAAGACGACTAAACCCAAATGTTTCTAGTTCTAGGTCTGATGTTAGCTCTGGTGACAGTGCAAGTATAAAACTAGAACTAACCCTATACCTAGAATTAGACTCATTCGGGTTTAGCCTTACGTGTCTAAAGACGCACGGCTAAACGCGAATGTTTCTAATTCCATTTTTCTCTACGCAATCACGTCTTGATCCAAGCGATTAAATAGCACTCTGAATGTTTTGGGCGTTGACCAATCGCTCCCTTAATTACTCATATAAACTTCAAAGTCCTTAGAATGTCTGACCAGAGATGGCATCATCTCATCCTAACCTTTAGAAATCCCCTAAGCTGAATGATATTACTTCTAGTTCTAGTTTTATACTTGCACTGTCACTAGAGCTAACATAAGATCTAGAACTAGAAACATGTGAGTTTACCCGTCTTTAGAGACGTGCGGCTAAACCCGAATAATTCTAGATCTTGGTCTTATGTTAGCTCTAGTGACAGTGCAAGTATAAAACTAGAACTAACGCTATACCTAGAACTAGAATCATTCGGGTTTAGCCGTCTTTAGTGACGTGAGGCTAAACCCAAATAATTCTAGTTCTAGGTATAGTGTTAGTTCTACGTAGTAATAGTACTGGTCTAAAACTAGAACTAAAACTAGAAACGGCCCTGTATATATTATTATAAATAATACTAGAGTAACATTAGCACTAAAACTAACAACACTCCGTTTAGCCGTGCGTCTCTTGAGACGGCTAAACCTGAATGTTTCTAGTTGTAGGCTTAATGTTAGTTCTAGTAACAGTGGTAGGTAGCGCTAGTTAGCATAAGATATATCACTATGTTGCATATTTTTATTGAACTAAAACTATATAGAATTAACACTAGACCTAAAACTAGAACTTAACCGTGCGTCTGAACACGCACGGCTAACCCGAATGTTTCTAATTCTAGGTCTAGTGTTAATTCCAGTTTTGCACTACCACTATCATTAGAGTTAACACAAGACCTAGAACTAGAATCATTCTGGTTTAGCCGCCTTGAGAGACGCACGCCTGAACCCGAATGTTTCTAATTTTAAGTCTAGTGTTAGTTCTAGTTTTGCACTAGCACTATCACTAGAACTTACACAAGACCTAGAGCTAGAGTCATTCGAGTTTAGCCGTCTTTAGAGACGTGCGGCTAAACCTGAATGTTGCTAGTTCTAGTGTAAGTTCTAGTTTTAATTGTTATTCAGCACGGGTTTAGCCGTGCGTCTCTTAAGACGGAAACTCAGAGTTATCATGAGGACGTTACCTTTTCCAAGCAAAACTTTTCCTTTACAGAATTACCCAATGCCTGTACTATTAAGAAATGCAATACCTAAAGACTACTATAAGAATAGCAATTACCTGTTGATCTATCTGCTGCAGAATTGAGGTTGTGTTTTGGTGAAGAAGTTTTACAGTGATTCAATCAAGTTCTGCATCGAGGGTAAGAGTTATGTTAGGACTGGTCAACATTTATTCTTGGGATGACTGACATTTGTAAACAAAACTAACCTTACTCAACATGCTATTACCGGAACGAATGACATTTAAAAAAACTAACCTTACGTAACATTCCTTCACGGTATAATTAGGATTTCAAAAGAAAACTGCCCTATCCTAACATTCCTTCTCTAAAACTAACCTTATCCAATGGTTTTTAAAGTATCCTCCGCAGGAGAGATCAGACTCTTCGGAAAAATATTCTTATGCCAAGAATCCCGATAGCCGATACGCAAGATTTGTTACTAGACGATCACGGTTTCTAAAGTGGCTAGCTAGTGATAAAAATAAATACGTCAACGCACTCCAGCACACTACTTAAAGTGTTAAAAATAATTGGCATGGTAGAAAAAAGGTGACAAGAAAAATACATCGTAACTTATAAACTTGAAGTTTAAGAAAAGTTTGGAAAATATCATAAACTAAATATAAAAGACGTAACATCATCAAGCTTAGGGGATTTCTAAAGCTGAGGATGCCACTGAGATGATGCCATCTCTAGTCAGACATTCTAAAAGCTTTGAGGTTTATATGAGTAATTAAGGGAGCGATTGGTCAACTTCCAGAACATTCAGAGTGCTATTTAATTCCTTGGATCAAGACGCGATTGCGTAGAGAGGTCTAGCTTTAGTGATAAAAAGTAGAAACCATCTCAAATTATATGACAAGACGATATATGTATACAGGATCGCTGAAATGACGTATGGAAACAGTCAATTATCTCCTAAAATAAGATATGTGTAGCGAAAAATGTTAAGCTACAAAAATTTTAGTGTTTTTTTAAATCTATTACAGTAAAGAAAAATTAAGTATACAGGGTTTGTCAAAAAGGTATGACGAAACAAAGTTACGTTTTCTTTAATGGAAACATCCACCTGTATATTAAGGTAACTTGATGAACTATGAACATAATCGAGTAAAATATTTTTATGTAATTTATAAGAGTAATTTCAAAGTTCAATATCTCGAAAACGGTTAAGTTTAGGTGCTACATGAATTTTGTTTAGAATTTGAAGATAAATCGAAATATGAAATAATATAAAGGTGTTCCATTAAAGAAAACGTAACTTTGTTTCGTCATAACTTTTTGACTGACCCTGCATACTTAATTTATCTTTATTGTAATAGATTTAAAAAAACACTAAAACTTTTGTATTTTAACATTTTTCGCTAACTATCGTACTTTAGGAGATAACCGACCGTTTCCACGTATATCAGCAATCCTGTATATGAGAAGAGACTGATTTATAAAACAAAGATGGTTCTGCAGTTACGGATAAACGATGGTGAATCAGTAGTATTGCAGGAACGTTTTCTGAAAGACTTGCCAAAGTGTTCTCGCATAATTACTAAAAACTACTATAGAAATATACAGTGATGATATAAGTACGAAGGCTTTCACGTCGAACTTGTTTCTGAAGAAGATTGCAACATGGCATCCGAAACGTCAAACATTTTTTCAAAAAACGCACGGCTTAACCCGAAAGTTTCTAGTTCTAGGTCTAGTGTTAGTTCTAGTGATAGTGCTAGTGTTAGTTCTAGTTTTAGTTTAAATATAGTGATGATCTTTTAAAAGTTCCAAAATAAATATACACTGTCAAACATTCTCATAGGGCCAATGATGGTGATTATTTGAACTCACTTATAGCTAGATGGTATGACGTCCATATCTTGGCAACTAGTGGTAAGATTGTTCTTAAAATTCTGCTTATAACATCAATTGGTATACTTGGTGTTAGCACTGATAGTAAGTTCCAATTGGCTACGTTGTCGTTTATCTGCATGTAATGCAGACTTAACTTTGATGCGAACAGATTTGATGGGGTTTTCTAACTAAATCTTGTCAAAGAAAGCCAAAAGTAAAGTTTTTTCTAACATTTCAACTATGCTATAAATAGATAGGGTTGCCTGGATAACAACATATCCGTTTAGCGTATGTTGTGGATGGATTGTGAAAAGTTTTGTGATCTCAAATCATGCTTTCGTCTAATTGCTAGAGCTTTAGGACTTCAACTTACCCTCTAAAATGCACCATTTTCGAGATACAGGGTGTTGAAATTTAATAAGAAAAATCGAACCGTTTATCGTTCAGAAAACATCGGTTGTAAGCATATTCTACTCATAATAAGCTAAGTTTTGTGCAAGAAAAAAAAGTCATAATTGGTGAAGATTTTGTAGTGGTTGTTTTTCTCCCCAACTTCTACGCCACTAGAAAAAATACCAAAATGTAAAATAAAAAAAAAATTTTAAATGATACAAAAGTTGTCTTTTCAAAATTCTCCAAACCGTAAAGGTTATATAACTTATTTTTAACAAGTAGGCTTTAAATTTTATAACAAAAGCACCTCCTGTCAAAATAACAATTAGTTTGTACCTGCAAAAAGTAAACTTGTATTACAAAATTAAAAATGAATTACACAAACGCTGAAATATGCGAAATGCATTACCTTTACGGAATGGCGTGCGGTAATTCCTCAGAAGCAAGGCGGTTGTATTAAGAAAGACATCCTCATCGCCCAGTACCACACCATAACTTGTTTCTACGCATTCACCAACGACAATGGGAAAATGGAAGTTTTAAAAGGAATACTGCTGATAATGGGCGGCCTATGGAAGTTGCAAATCCCCAAGTAGAAGAGGCTGTCCTCAACGAAATTGATGAAAATTCGACCACAAGTATCAGCAAAATTGTTCACAACTTAAACCTATCTCATTCGACGGTTTGGAGAATTTTGAAAAAACAACTTTTATATCCCT